CTTGTCCCCGTGGTGTACACGTGGACACGCGCGGTTGTACTGTAGAGCGTCGAGCTCTACAGTAGGGGATCCTGTTGTTGATCTAATCTAACTAAAAAGGCCCCAGGGGGGTTATACTACACAGCCAACTTTTGGTTCCTCTGACGGGTCTTCAACCGGCTGCGGTTCATTCAGGACCTGACTGACACTGGGTATTGCCGCCGGATTAGGAAGAGCTATTCCAATGACTTGGCCCTTTTTCAGTCTGACTTTCTTCGTTCCAAAGTTGGTTACTACGACTGGGAAAGGCTCGTTTGCGAGCACGTCTCTCACTCCATTCGCCATCAATGCGAAGCTCTTCATGAGTGTCCGAGGGGAATTCTGAAGAAAGCGGAGTCCCGAAGAGTTCCTTTGTACGGGTAAGAACTTTCTCAACCCGGGCTCGATCACCGTTTGTTAGGCTACACGATTCTTGTTCGAACCGTCTTACGGCTGAATCCCTTTGCTTTCCCATGAGGCATGTCAATGGATAATACGGCAACCGAGAGAGCGTCTTTCAATAAGACTCGACGCGTGCCCGGGACGACAGCGGTAACGTAGCGATCAATAAATGAAGTTCCCAGAATGACCGCAGCGGACATGTTTGACACCGCGAGGAAGTTCGTCCTAGTGAATAGGTTTCCTACACGAATGTAAAGCAGTATCACTCTAAGGGAGATAATAGTGTTGTTCTACGCATCCACGATTCAACGGCTAGTCCGATGAAGCTTTGCTAAGTGTTCCCATCTTCGAGGAAGCATTTTTACATGAACCAAATTCGGACCTGCGCCTGTATCCAATACCCCTTTGGCTGTCGTTAACTCTGTTGATCGGCAACCCAGCGAGATTGACACCTTGCAAGTTCTTTTCTTGAGCAACGAAACTTCGGCATCCCCTTTTGAGTCAACAGGATCATCTTCCAGTAGCAAGGGTTCAGGTTGGCGCGTATAAGCGGAGGAGGCTCGCCACTTCATGCCCCGTCCTTGGCTTTTTCCTCATCGGGTGGTACGCTATTCGACGGCGTTCGCTTTCCCAATCGTGCTTCTTCAAAATTTACAGCCGGGAGGTATCCTTTCGAACTGGCTCCCGCTCTGGCAGCGAATCTTTTCATTAAGTTGCGACGACGCTGTTCGATAGTCTTTCGACGCACATCCAACGCGACCAACTGGCAATCACCAGCGAAGTGCTCTGGACTCGCACATATCCAACAAGCTCTACCATTTGAAACGGAGGAACATGTTGAAGGCGACGATATCCTTGAAACCTGCGAAAGGTTTTCTTCAAGCTGAAGTATCTCCTCCACTTCTTGATTTAGGCCCGCGGATACCTCCGACGTGGACGACTGCGACGCCCGACCTTCGGTCATCTGAACAGCAGCAACGGGTACTCGCGCTCCGGATTTCACCGGTCGACGGAATTGCCCCCTTGGGAGTCCTTGGACACTCCTACGAGAGTCGCCTAGCGCCTGGGCGTATTCTGTTAACTGCGTGTAGGATAATCCCCTAGCGGATCCCAAATGGTTTCTGACTGTGGCCTGTATTCCTGGAAGAAGTCTGTCCACAAATATGGACTTCAGCCGTCGTTCGGAAAAGTCCAAACCACAGCGTCGAGCCTTGGTTCGCCCTTGTTCGGCAAATTCCGTTTCCGTCTTATCGGTTTCCTGTTTGCACGAAATCACTTCGGCATAGGCCGTAGCAATCTCTTCGTCCGTAGCATAGGCTTTTAACAGATAGTTAACCACTTCGGGGTACGTCTTCAAAACGTCCGTTTCTTCGTGTGAGTCTACAATCATACTCGTGGAAGTCTGTAAGCGCGCTTGCAGATTATCCGGAGCGGTTCCATTGACAAAGTACTGTAACAGCCAAACTGCTACACCTTCATGGATACTGTTGTGATTACAGGCATCCTTAAACCTTGTCAGGAAGCCTAAAATGTTGATAGGATCGCCACCAGAGAATTTCTCTGGGGGCATCTGAATAGCCATACGTTTGTAATACGTGTTTACCTTACGTGCAACTCTTGATGAGTAATCCGTAGAGCGGTCGTTCAAACGGTACGACCGAAAGTTAACAACCTTGCCAAAGAGGTCGTTAACGGGAACGATCTTTCGAACTCGTGTCTTGCGTGCCGATCGACGGTCCTCGTCGTCGGATGTCTCGTCAGAGGACCTGTCTCCACTGTCAGTACTCGAACCTTTCGCCGCTGACGAGCGTTTCTTCTTCCGATTCTTTCGTTTGTTCTTTTCTTGGACGGTTTCCGTTGTCGGTTTCTCCTCGCTGAGTCACTCGACAAATCCTCGAGATCAGGGTCTGGGTCATCAGTCGGGTATGGAAGAGCAATACCGGGAGGAACGGTAGGGTCTTCCGTTGTCTTTATTATACCACTAGATGGTAATTGTGAAAAGGGTTGCGATTCCGGCTGTAACACAGCTCTCCTCACAGTTGGTTGGTACGTTGGAGTTTCCCCAGAATGGGTTCTTCTCCGGATGTCGGGCCCATGAACCAACGATCTGGTTGACTTCATCCCTTGCATGAGTAGAAACCAGACGTGGCAGCGTCTCTTCGAGGTACTTTTCCACAAGAGGAGCAACCGATATCGGAATCGTGTGGTCCAGTTGAGTTTCCATCCAGACTGTCAGCCCAGGCATCAAGTTCGTATTAACCCAATATTGGCGGTTTCCCATAAGGGGTGGAGTTGGTACCGTAGTCTGTTCTTCAGTAACTTGTCTGGAAGCTGGTCGCACGGCGGGGGTTGTAGTCGGTATATCCGGAGGGTCTTGGTTTGAAGTTTCAGGAAGAGTCTGAGAGCGCTGAGCACGTAAGAGCCGTTCTGGGTCAGAGACTGGCGCGGTTGTCAGTGTCTCGAGTTGACGACGACTTCGGCGGGAATTGTCGGATTTATGAGAAGAAGACATGTTGGTGAACCTGATGAGCAGTATAGGGTCACAAAAGTGATTCACACAGAACTCGTCACGAAGAGATGAATATTATCTTTTTCAGGTCTCAACCAAACATGGAAACTTGCAAAAAAGCTTGTTTCAAGGTCTGGAGACCAAATGTCGCACAGAAAGTTCACGTCTGAACGTAACCGTAGAGCAGGGTCCTGGTAGCAGCGGTAGAGCGAGATAAGAACCCAAAAAGGGGTGTTCAATCGAACCGAAAACGGAAACACTAGCAATGTGTAGGCACACTGGCTGGACGGTTATCCGGGCAGGGATGACAGAGGTTGCGGGGGAGTTTGTGAGTTGGAAGCCTCAAGTTGAGGCCGAAGGTGTTTGCCTTTCGAGGTGGAGGCTCGGCGTAGGAGATACCTCTAATGGGTATGAAAAACCTAGCTATCCCACTCTTCTACTACTTTACAAGGCCCCTTACATTAATTACACTCAATCATCTAATATTAATTACTATTACAGAGACCAGCTGCATTGTCAGCTAAATTAGCCAACAGGAATCGTTCCAAAATCTGCCAACCACAGCTCGCCAAGGAGTTACTCCTAGACTGCCAAGTGTCCAGAACCCACTATACCACAGTGATAGTCAAACGCGGCACCCTCGAGGTGGCATAAGATAGCTCCTGCCTTTTCCTCGTCAGGTTGCCGCCCATAATGATGTTCTCGTATACAAACAGAGACTTGGAAACATCTGACCCATTCGACCCATCGTAGGTAACAGGGTTAGGGCCCGTACTTGTGTCTGCGTCGGCCCTCAACAAGAGTACCATGTTGTTGGGTAAATGGGGGAGGCGGTTTGTTTTCTGTTTTCTGAGGGGGAGCGTGGTGTTCCGTGGTGAGGGCAGGTCGAGTGGTTTCCCCCTTTTTCCCCGCAGCGCCCGTCCCCCCTCTCTTTTATTTCGACGTAATTCCTTCCAGAAGCGTCCACGCGTCCGGCCCGGATTCCGCCAGGCCGTCCGCGTGCGCTTCTCTAAAATTCAAATAAAATGTCGGACTACAGTATAAAATCTCCCTCTACAGTAAAATGCAATGTTTCCCTAAAAATATCTCACATACACAAACAGAGCAAGCTCCGTTAGAGCATCTCCACCGCATGGGCAAATTGTTTCTATATTTGGACACTTGTCAGGCTCCCACATGGGCATTCGTTTTGTGCATTCCGTTTGCGAAAGTACCACAAATCGCCGTTGCGCACGCAAATCGCGTCGCGGTCTCCACCGCGCACTGCGTCGCACCCTCCCCCGATCCGCGCCCAGACTTCCCGCGCCCCGACTTCTAGGCCGCCCCCCACCCCGACCAGCAGGACACAAAGCCGAGGTCCAGTTCGTCGACGCTGACCTCGTCCACCCAGACTTGTCCTCGCCGCCCGAAGCGTACCCGGCCGCGTCGCCACCCACGCCTTTGCCAGATGGTCGAGTTCAGTTAGCCCCCATCCACGCCCGCGGACTCCCATAATAAATGAGTGTTAACGCGTGCACAATGTCTGCGTGCGGGTGGATGCGGGCATGTGCAGTGCGAGCATAGACCGTCCACTGCGCATTTGGCATGCTCAGACGTTTTGGGCGGGTCAGGTGTACCCGTGGCTTCCCGCGTTCTTGCTGTTTCGGTGTCTAAAAGTAACAAAAAATCAGCCCGTTCAAGCAGAGGAGTGTTGCCAAAAAATGGGATTTGTGACGTGACGCGCCACAAAATCAAAAAATATGTGTGCCGTCAAGACACAAATCCTATTTATCATACGATTTGTGAAACAGATTTGTGTGCAGATTTGCGCGGTGGAGACCAAACTCAAGCCTGAGTCGCCATATTTTAGAAATGGCCACAATTTGCCTACGCGGTGGAGATGCTCTTACAAAGATCATACGGAAGCAAGATATTCCCTGACAGAGTTCACCTGCATGCATTCCATCGCTGCACTAGCGAGGACAAGGAATCATCGCAGGTGTGAGGCACAGCTTCTTTTTCATTCACGTCAGAGGCTGCAGCTGGGCGGTAATCCCTGAGGCCTTGCAGCATTCCGTTATCCCCTCTAGCAATGCAACTGTCCTTCAATGTGGCTCTACAGCTTGCTGCCATCTTGAGTGTGGCACTCTCCTTTGGTATCCAAGTACCAGCCGGGGAAAAGAGCTGTTTCTACCGGGAACTACGGTCGAATATGCATGTTTCGCTTCACTACGTCGCCCGAGAGACTGTGAGCATCGCAGTGCAAGCGCCGTCCAAAGAAGGCATTTATTCCAAAACCTCAGTCCTTCAAGGAGAGCACTCCTTCAACGCAAAGGAAGACGGTCCCTACCAGTTTTGCGTCTCAACCGACTCGACGCGACGCGCACCAACGATTGCAAAGTTCCGCTTTCTGGCCTTTCCCCCCGACGTTTTCAATTCTGACATTGCCAAATCGACCCAAGCGTTTGATGCTCGCATGCTTACTCTGGAACTTTCGAAGATAAGCGACAAAGTTTTGTATTCCGCACACCTATATGCTGACACCACATCCGCCACGGATGAAACCCTCAAGAGCTCCATCGCTCTCACCGGACGACTCGCTGCGCTTGAGTGCGTAGCCGTTTTAGTCGTTGCCTTGGCTCAAGTCAAATACGTGCGAAACATCTTGTCGGCAACACGCTCGAAGGTTCAAAGAATGGTTTAGACTTGCAAAGCCCTGGACTAGTTTAAAAGGTTTCAAACACAGTACGACAAGTTCTTGTCAAGGTGGGGCACTTATCCTGCTGTCGCTTCTTGTCGTAGTTGACTGATTCGCGGTGCCAAACCGGCATCAACCCCTGTCACCTTAACAGCCGTCACCTGCTTTGATGAAGGGTCGAACCGCACCCGGATAGTACAGCCAGGATGATCATGACATACTTCGCGAATCGACGCAAGAATGCAGTCTAGGAAGTTGATGCAAACGAAGGGGTCCCACCTATTGTTGGACCTTGTTTTGTCAAAATGGTGCCGCGCTTCTCGAGGTATTTCATGTGTCTTCACTTTCTTCACGTGAAGAAGATCGCCTGCGTCTGAGCGTAGGCCGAGCATGATCGTTGGAACACCTCCAAGGTAGGACTGGAGCCAATACTTGAGAAAGCGAAAGCGGTACATACTGTTCAAAGCCCGTTCATTTTCAATAACACGCATCGTTTTGAGCTCAATGTACCCGTTGAGTGGGTTCCCGCCCTTGTCTGGTGCGCCGCTGGAACAATCGATTTCTGATGCCATCAGAATTCTGTGGTTGGCGATTCGCAGCCGTGATATGCTGCAGTATTCGGAATTCGCATTCACTGGTTCATCTTCCAGACCTGTACACAACGATTCAAATCGATAGCCATAGTACATAAACCGCTGTTGTTGAGGGTCGGTAGATTCCTTGTTGGTCTTTCGAATATCTAAGTAAACCGTTTTCGCTACCAAGGCACAGTCGAGCTCCCACCCGTCCCTGTTCTCGTATGGGGTCCCGCCAATCTTATTCATATTATTCCTGTATGTTACAATATCTGCTTGGGTATCTATGTCAAATTGCTTTGACTGCAAGGCTTTCACCACGGTTTCCACCCCCACATCCTCATCTCGCTTCGGAATGTATGACTCGAATTTTTCACCTAGGTTCACATTCAGCTTCGGCTCTGTGTAGGTCGCCAGCTGTTCCTTGCTTCCAAAGGTAACGTTGCGGTTCCCATCTCTCGAATATGAACTCACCTCAAACGGGGCGGAAACATGTGTTCTGGAATGATTGACGCCCGGTGAAGATACCCAGTCGGAGACGTTGATGCGGAACAAAATATCGCTCGAATCCTGTTGTCCATACATCTCGTTGCTACAAGGGCTTTTCTTGACAATTTTCAATGATCCCGATGTTGCTCGGATAGTTCTTTTGAGTGTGCTGCAGGAGTGGCAACGGACCTCGCACTCTTTTCTCCCCGCGCGGCGCTTTCTGTTCTCGTTTGCTTCGCAAGCAGGAACACGTTTGCGTTGGCCTTGTGGCTTCAATTTAGCTTTCCTTACAAGTATTTCAGAGGGTGGCACTGCTGCAAGAGACGCATTTTTTAGATTCTTTTCCCTCCATATTTTACATATTTACAAAAGGCACCTCACCCCGTGCACACCTCGCTCCAAAGACCGCCCCGCATATAATTCTTTCCAGCGACTACATCGAGATTGACAGACCAGGTGACGTTCGGTTGATGAAGATAGCCCTTGGAATGGAATTTTAACGCACATACACTTGTAAGACTGAAATCAAAATATTGACTGTGCATACAAATGGAGGGCGACGGAGCTGCAGACGAGACCTACCTCAAAGAGCTTCGAGAAGCCGAAAACGCAGATTTATCTTTGGTGCGAAACAAACAGATAGTCGTTGTTGCCAAAACTGAAGATGGAAGCTTGGCGAGGGACTCTGACAGGGCACCTGCAGTAATTGTAACTCCGGCGTTGGTTCCGCAAGAAAATTCAAATGCGTGGGAGCAAGCGTTCCAATTGTTTATGTTAGAGACGAAAGAGGTTGGTTCCATTCCCATTGAGTGTTTTCAGCTATCAATTGGGATACAAGACGTCTGTAGAACAACTGCTAACCATTTGCCATGTAACCAATCCCGACGTGATCGTGCGACGCGCCGTCCCAGGTATGTGAATCCTCGTACCGGGTGATATACATCCATTCCGGGTTTTCGGGCGCGTGGTGGATGTCGTGGTGGTTACTCTCTCTCCGTCTTCGACTGTCACGCGGACATCGTAAGAACCTATGCGGTCTAACGATTGTGCACCCGAGCGTATGGGTGCGTCTCCTGTTTCTCGGGATGCGACCCGTGCTGGGGGCAGGGTTTTGGAAGAAGCTGCACTACGTAGACAGAATCGAGGAGCTGTGGCTAGACGAGATGATGGAAGAGGGGGTCGCGAGACGGAACATCCCGCAAGCAGTGTTTGGATACGAGCAAAAGATCGTGGAAGAGGCGGAGGAGAGTAGGAACCTTGCGATTGCCTTGGGGGCGCCGCTCGCAGCGAGGGAGAGGCAATATCAACAGGGGGGACATGAATAGAGCCCAGAATAATGACTGTATTGGTCAAGGTATGGAAGTGGACGAATGTTGAAGGAAGGAGCTGTTCTATGCTGCAAAATTGTTTGAAGACCCGTACCTATTTGTGTGCACTGTGCAGTTACGGGACGATAGACAGCTGTTGAGAGGACGCGATGAACTAAAAGTAGACCATTCTCTCCCTCACCCTGTCTCCTTTACGGAGACCAGTGATCAAGCTCTTTTTTCCGGCAAGGTTGCTTGGCATGCTGGGTTTTTATTGAAGAGCGAGCGTTCTGCTATGTGACAAAATGGTTCAGATGAAATCAATTGAGTTAGGAACGGCCCGGCCCTCTGAGCGCAGTTGGGCCACTTTTCAACTTTCCTTTTGTAGACTTATTTCCATAAGTCGAAATTTTAGTGGCTATCGGACTGTTAGTCCGCATATGAGGACAAGAGTTATTTTATTTTTTCTAGATAACGCAAACCGCGATTTAAGTTCCGTTTTATTGCAACTAGAAGTTCATCACCACAGGTAAAGCTCATCCTCGTCAATTCTAGCGAAAACGAAATTGTTGACGCACATAAAGCTCTTCAAAAGTAAATGTAGGCTTACAGTAAGCATTTTTCGTTAAGCTAATTTTATACCATCGAGTGCTTTCTATTCGGTTTTACCTTCAGAAAAATTTTAAAACGAGTCAACCAACCAAAGAAGAATAGAAACCGTGGACATCAAAGTTGAAAAGAAATAAAACTCGCAGATTTTTATGTTGTGATAATGCTTGGTCGGATAGACACTACTGTATGTAGTGTTGTTTACTACGCTTGACAAGTGTCCTCAGGTAAGGTTACTTCCCAATGTATCTTTTGTGCGTTGCTCGATGGGAACCGAACTCTGCGTTGCGGGGGGATACACCGTGGATGCGTACCAGATATCAATGAGGTCTGCCTGTCGTTCCCAGTCAGTTCTAGAAAAGCCTAGGGAAGCAATACTGATGAGCAGCCTTGAAACTTTTCATCCCTGTCTGGATATCTTCGAGCCGAAAGTCCTTATTTAAAAATTCAACTCATACATGTACATAGCTCAAGAAGTTCGGTGATGGTGTACATCGTTCAATATATTTAAACTGTCATCCAGTTGTGCGAGATAATCCCGAGGGGAAAATATCAAAATAATCTGGGTCGTATAGCGGAAAAAGAGCTTTCTTGATAGAATACTACATCACTGGAGAGCGGACAAAAGCTCGTGTACCACACTTTCGACTCACCTTAACATGTGTGAAGCGAATAAAAGGAACGCATGTCAGAGTAAATCGGAGTAGAGTTGAAGCGGGAAAACAAACGGCATCTCGACTGTAAACGTTACAGTAAGGTAAGGTTGGAGTACGAGAGGAGGCGGCTCTGCAAAAACCTGGGGCCATTCGGGGGTGTGCACAAACTTGTGGTTGGTCCACGTAGTACACCTGTAGCTTATACATGGACCATTGTAGCCCCAAAGAGAAACTGGCGGACCGATGACCAGTGTGCGAGATGTACACGTGTAGTGTCAAGCCCTTGCTCCTGACGCTCGGTGTGGCCAATGCTTCAGACAGATCAGCCTCACCCCCATTCTATCCCTGCGCTTACCATCGAATCACCGTCGTCTTCGTCGCCCACCGTCAGCTTTACTCTACTAGTCTGCCCTACCCCCCCCCCCCCCCCCCCCTTCGCACTGTTGGCAAAGACCCCATCCCTCCCGCCTCCCGCCTCCCACCTCCCTCTCCGTGGCCCTTGGTAGAACGGCACTAGCCTCCCCTCGCCCCCTCCTTTCCGCTCCCTCCCCTCTTCCCACCATGGCCGTCAAGGCCGTCGCTAACTCAGATCAGACCGTCGCCTCAGATCGCACCGAGAGCTCCACTACCCGCGGCGAACCGTCCACCCGCGAAGTCGCCACCGTTATCGCCTTCAATTTCTTCTCCTCGACTGGTATCGTCTCTGCCAATAAGCTCGTCTACGAAGCCGGCTTCCACTTTGGCGCCACCCTCACCTTTATCCACTTTATCTGCACCACCATTGGTCTACTCCTCCTTGCTCGGTTCGGCGTCTTCACCCCAAAACGACTCGATGTGCGAAAGGCTCTTAAGCTCGCCATCGCTGGCATGGGCTTTGTCGTCTTCTCCAACCTCAGTTTGCAGCGCAATTCCGTCGGCTTTTACCAAGTCATGAAGCATATGACCGTCGTCGGCGTCATAATTATTGAGGCTATCGTCTTCCGCAGGTTTTTGCCCTGGCGTTTTCTTGGCGCTTTGGCTACCATGTGCTGCGGTGTCATTATTACGGGCATGACTGATTTCAAACTTAACACGCTGGGTACAATGTTTGCGCTCGCTAACATTCTCTGTACGTCGTTTTATCAAATCTGGTGCGGCTCCTTGCAAAAGTCGCTTGAAGCAAATCCACTCCAGCTCCAGCTTTACATTGCTCCGTTATCTGCTCTATCCATTATCCCCATCGTCCCCATGTTTGACGACTATCGGTCCTCATCCCCCGAATCGATTTTCAACTTTGTACCCACGGTCAACAACGTCTCGGCTATCTTGTTTACGGGTGCGCTCGCCCTTTGCGTCAATGTCTCTATTTTCCTTGTTATCGGGAAGACATCAGCCGTTACTTATAACGTCGTCGGCAACGGTAAGACGGCGTTTTTGTTCGTCGTTGACTTTTTGGTTTTCGGTCGACCATTCGAGCCCACGAATGTTTTCGGAATGACCCTCACGCTTTGCGGTGTCATTTGGTACACACAGCTGAAGCTCAAAGCCCGCGCGGAAGCAGAGAGGTCAGGCAGTTCATAGGCGTTTACATGCAAAGTAGGGGGTTCTTCCTAAACAAGGGTTGCTTGGTTTTGGGTTGTAACAGTTGTTCATTGCAATGAGGAGGTCGTGGCAGGGGTTCAGAGCTCTGCACATTTTTCTGTATAAACGAAATATGATTAATGCGCGGCCACCTCTAATCTCGCAAAATCGGGCAGTTAGAATAGCGTGCCTTTCAGAATACACCCTGGGCACCGCAGGTACCGACTGTGAACGTCTCGCGTTGCAGAGGCCTATTCCCTACGGTCTCTGAATCGCTCACGTTATAAGAGCGCCGCATGTCTAAATGAGAGACCATTCTCTCTCGTCGGTATTTTCAACTGTGTTTTTAAAAAAAAGTGATTTCATGCGGCTCAAGAGGATTGATGGTCAATCGTTGTCACAACTTCATTTGCAGGACGTATGCGACAGGGATATGCCCCACTTATCTGCGATTATTGCGGTAGAGGGTGGAAGGGGTCCGGTAGTTCAGTTGAAGTCAATCCTTATCACTTACCTGTGAACCGTCTCATCGAACGCTGAACCCCCATCCCAAACATTTACCTTGAAACCACATTCCTTGCAAATCCTTCCCGGCCGGCTACACTTGAAACCCCCTTTGCGGCATTCAATGTTTCAGTGTCACCATGTCGACTTTGGTCTGTCACATACTCATTGGTATTTCGTACATAGGGCGAGGAAACGTGCATCAAAGCTTTGTCAACTGCTTTCATGCTTCGAGGGCGTGCGAGAATCTTTGCTGTAATGCAATTGTATTCGCAAAGGACTGACTACAGCACCCTTCTCCCTATGTTCTCACTTGCCAAAACCTTCCAAAAGGATGTTGTCAGGTCTCCGACAGGATGCCGTGCACCGTGGTGCTCTCTCACAGCGACTCGCCAATCTTTCGACGAATAAAAGACGACAGGACCTATTGCTCTGGCCTCGGGTATCCAGTCGAAAGTGCGTGGGCATCATGAACAAAAAAAGAACAAGCAATAAGGATTTTTAACACGTGAGAAAACAAAAAAAAGCGGTCTGAAGTTTACAAAACTGCTGTTTGCTGCAGCACTTAATGTGCAGGAGTGTAAAGGGCCACAGCAATCTGGAGAATATTATTAGGCTTTCGGAATGACGAAGACATCAGTTGAGTCAGGGATGACGTGAGCAGACTGCCAGGCTTTGACGCTACTCGGAAGCTGCATGAGCGGGTTCATCTTTTCAATCTTGTGCAAGTCTCCCAAGAACGGTCGGACAGCGGCATTGGCTTCTTTGAGGTGGTAGTGAGGAATAGCCGGGAAGAGGTGATGAACGACATGAGTTCCGATGTCATGATGGAAATGCTCGAGCAGACCGTAAACACGATCGACAGACTCGAGGTTACCCTTGACATAGTTCCAATTTTTTGTGTTGTACCATTTCGTGCCGGGCTCTGTGTGGTGAAGAAAGGTGACAACTAGGAGCCAGCCGCAGTAGATGAAAAACGGGATTCCGTAATAGGTCATGAGATTGCCGAATCCAAAACGAATGCCACAGGTCAGGAGGAAAGTAGCCATGACGGACCAGCAAGTGAGGGTGGTGACGATGAGCGGGCGCTCATCCTTTGTGAATAGCTCTGACGTTGTGGAAAAGTGGGAACCATTCTTCATTGCATTCCCATAACCCTTGAGAAGATAGACGGGGTACCCGAGGACACCAAGGAAGAAAAGCTCATGGTAGATGAAACGAGCAAATGAATCGACGCCCTCGTATTCCGATTCAGGCATGGGGTAGAAAATTTCGTCCTTCTCGTAATTACCGGTGTTCTTATGATGCTTCCTGTGCGAAATTCTCCAGGAATGGAATGGAACGAGGATGAAGGAATGAAGCAAATGTCCGAAGAAAGAGTTGACTTTCTTGTATCTGGAAAAGCTTCCATGGCCGCAGTCGTGTCCAAGGACGAAGATGGCCCACATGAAGAAGCCTGTGAAGAACCAAAAGAATGGAAGATAGGCGGTATGCCATTTCGTGCCGTAGGTCACAAAAGCGCCGTAGTACAATGCAGATATGAAGGCTATGTCCCGGAGGACATAGTAGATGCTGAGGGCGAGGTTGGGTCGGAAGCAATGCTGAGGGATGACGCGCTTGATCTCTGAGAGGGTGGGGATGCGTTCGTCGGGGACGTAGCCCTGCTTGGCCTTGGCCACATCGCCGTAGAGGTTGAGCGATTCGATCTTAGATGAACGTGGTCCAGAGACTTCAGACATTTTTTCTGCAGCTGGAGCCATTGCTGTATAGTGCGGTGATTGTAGGACGGATCTGCGATGCAAGGGTCGGTGTGGGGGACAGGGGACTATATGCAGCAAGGCCGGTGAGGCAAGACACAAGATCGGCAGGAGTTGAAATGCAAAATCGTATGACAAGGGGGCGAGGATGTGTGGGGGGCCGGGAGGAGTACAGTTCTGAGGATGGGGATTTGAAGGTGGGGGGGGACTGTGGGAAGAGGGAGAACTATATACTGGTGACGGCGGGCGGCAGGGTATGTGGCTGACGGCAGTACGTATGGGGGGAAAGGAGCACAGAGGTGGGCGTGGGCGTGGGGTGCTCGGGAGCTGCGCGCCGCACGTTGGCGGGCTACAACGCGACGGTGCCGGCTGCCGTAGTCGCCAGATACGTGTACTGACGGTGTTCTTCGGTGCGCCATCCCCATCGATCCGCGCCGGAGTGCTCCCTCCGCCCGATCCCTTTCGCGCCTTATCTGCACAGGTGGCACTCCCTCGCTGGTCGGAGCCCTCTCCGGATACACTCCCGTTCCACATGACGCCTTACACGTTGTACACCGCTTGCTCATGTCCCGTCGCCTTGTACCTCCTCGGTTCCTCTTCGTTGAGAAGAGATCTCCGCTCCTCCAAAACCGATCCCTCCCTTCCCCGCTGCCAACTACGATTCGCGTTGTCCCATGGCTTCTTGGGAGCCAGTTCGACACCACAGGGACACACAAAACACTCTCTTAGCGTCTTCAAACGATTCACTCAGAACTGTGAAAAACTTTGTGCAAACTGTACAACGCTCTTGACAAGAAGAATACAACATTTCTGCTTGTCTGAGAGATAGTGTTATCATCTCGTGTGCGCGCGCTTTGAGCGTCTTCCCCTCTTTCTACATCCCCGCAACACTCCCTTGTATCCACTGGATCAAATATCGCGTGACCCTTAGTCAGCTTCTCTTCCCAGAATCGATTTCTAAGGCTTCATCCACGGCCATCTAGTTGCCCCTCTCCCTCCCCAGAAATATCGGCCGACTCTGTTCCTTTACTTACACGGCCTCAGGACTCGTTCAAGACACACCGTTCGCTCCCACTCGTGCAAAAACCCCCAAGTCTTCCCATAGAACAAAGTCGCGCATTGCAAACTTCCCTGCTTCCAGATGGCAGAAATGTATGAGGCAGTTTAGCACTTGCGTCATGCCAAGGAATTAGAATATAGCCGTCACTGCCAGATCGCCACCAGTTTGAAACGCCTCAGGAGCTGACTGCCACGAACCTGAGATCAATCAACCATCGGGCTCTGCATATACAAAAACCTACTGCATACACATACTTATCGCCGTATTTGGACGCGGGCACATTTCCCCCGGTCCCAAGTGGTTAACTTGAGCTCCCTTGGCTCGACTGGACAGCCGCGAGGCTATGTCCTACAGCACCACAGCTGGATCGTGAAACAAAGCATTTGATGATGCTTCAATCTCTTTTCTAGACCCTGCGTCCACCCTAAGGGTACTCTCTTCCCTAGTATCTTACAAAATACCGCAGCACCACGCGCCACTGCAAAAGAAACCAAGTATTTCCTTCAAAGTCGCAAATATCTAAGACGATCTCAGCTTTCGCACCGTAGCGCGGCAATCAACTTTAAAATAAGTTTACCGTACTCACATTTATTTGAAATTCAGTTGCAAAAGAGCCACGCTATCCTTGTACAGCCCAAAACCAAATGAATCGTATGGAAACAAACGCCCTCAGGAAAAGGTTTCCGGATCTTGATGAAGAGAGCGTTGTAGTTTTGCAGATGCAGAGTAATAGAGAGAGGTGAGTGTGTAGAGTATGTCGAGCTGCGGAGACGGGATGTCAGCTCTGTGCAGTGAAAGCTCGGGCTTGCTCGTGTGAAACGACCAGTGATTCAAGGCCTAGAATACCCTTAAACAGTATCCTCATTGAAGCAGCCTCATGTCCACAACCTCTCACAAGTGCTGGCTGTCTTCCATCTGTAATCAAAAGGAGTGCGTTGTTCCCCCGCTGTTGCGTCGCTGTCCGGCGAAAAGCGCTGTGGCGATGTCCTCGAGCCCAAGGGCCATTGTAGGCGCCTGATTCGGACATGTCTTTCGCCATCTCGTAATTACACTCTATGCACTAGAATCTGCTCAAAAGCAATTACCTATGAGCACAAGACCCAGACTACGCTATAATTTTGAGGTGATTCACGATGATCCTGTGACGAAAGAGAAGAAACCGTCGCCACACAAAAGATTGTTTCGTGAGGAGCGTCTGTTGTCTATTATAGTCGCAGCTGTTCAGGAATTCGTTTTCGTCTCCCAGTATAGATAGGTGTTCGCTATCTAGGAAGCTACTGTACATCCTTGGAAAGGATGGAGGTTTGAAACTAGCTGAGCAATGCTGCATCATTAAATTTCAACCAATGTCTCCGTTTTTGAAAACTTGTTTCCAAATGATTGAAGTCTCGACCCTCGGTCATGCGCAAAAAGGACAAGCACATCATATCTTTTTGCTGTCTTGTGCTTGCCCACTTTGAAGGAGAGAAGATTCCATCTCCCCTAGAAATGAATATTGCATGTGTCCAGTGAATATGGATGGTGGGCTATATACTATATACGTATATGGGGGCTATGCTCCATGGTGCTTCGCGATGTCATTCAGACCAGGAAAAATGTTTGAATGACATGCTATCTACAGAGAGCGGAAAGACATCTGCGTCAACGGCCTTCGTCCGAATTTCCGAAGTCGGGGGTAGGCATATGCGGACTAAAAATAAATATACCAATATACAGTCCATACAGTATAGCTTCAGACGGCGAATAGGCACTGTTTCCAATGCATACAGTATGTATATAGAGAATTGCATACTCGTTCTGGAATAATATGTGCCCGACAACAGTGCAGAAAAGCCTCGGTGACAGGTCAACTGTATTGACATTTTCGCCGATTCCTATTCATTGCGGATGATACTGTAGTTATTGCGCAGAATCGACAGAGAGAGCCAAGGCTCTCGCAATGTAAAGAACAGTCATTTCTAAGTATGGCAAGGAAGAAAAAAGACTAACACATCACCTATCCGGACCCCATTCCCTCCAAAACGATGACAATTGGCCTCTTTCATTTTAAAAATATAATGATTTGCTAGTGAAACACGGGGAGTTGTCGAATCATTCCTTGGTGTCACCTCAGGATTAGTCAAGGTGTTATGAAGAATTCTTAAGACAGGAGACGAGTATCGTTTTCTGATATTGAGTACTTTGCCCACAAATAAAAAAAAATTGCTTGCCGTGCTCCGCTAGAAAGCCTTTTTTGCACTCCTTTTACAAGAATATCAATGCTTGAAGTGCAATGACATGTGGACCGCACGCCATTGCAGACCTGAACACACGGTAGTACGAGTGATGGTTGCGTGCAAAAGTATACCACTTTGGGAAAGGGAACCTTTTCTGCATGAAGATATAGAGAAGCATTGCGGTCGCCGTTGCCTCCGTACCATGTGAGAAGACGATTTCCATAATGTCAAGGCATGTCGTTGATCATTTGACGGTATCTCAAGTTCAGTGCTGTGATACATAATAACAAAAAATGTTATCGAGCCCATTCGCACTGTATGGAAACTGTTCTGGACTGGCTGAAGTACTGGCATGCTGCTCTTACCTCGTAAGGGCTGGCGGGCAGTGTAAAGGTCGTGGTTCTCACACACGACTCATGTGGCGTTAAGTTGATATTCACCCACAGTACTCCAATGTATTCTCTATCAAAGCAATTCGCTGAGCAATTCCTCGCTGTGAGAATATAAATTTCTTGAACATACTGTTTGAAAGCTGTCATCGAATATTTTGACAGACAGCTTGCCTGTATATACGTTAGCTTCACGCAGCCTCTAGCAATTTTCATCACTGCAAAGATGCGAATGATGAGTTTTCAGAGAAAGACGACGGCGTACGGGTCAGTTCTGCAAGACTGTTCGGAGAGAAGCAGCCGATTCTAGTTTCTATTAGGAAAGCTGCTGCCCAAAGAAACAATAGTTGCCAAAAATATTTTCATACTTTTAAATATAAATTTTAACAATGAGTTTTACATACAGTACAAGAGTAGCCAGGAGAACAATTGTTCACATATTATTGGTCACTTTTCAGAATAAATGAAAGTAATTTTAATTTTTACACTTTAGAAATATGTTGAAGGGTAGCGCCTGTTGTCCCATCTCCCACAGACATCTCTTTTGGCTCGCACACTGTCTATTTGGTGCCGCTCTTTTTCGCAGTCCGCTCTCCGGTCTAACCTCTCCTCATCGCCGGCGGCCTTCTCGTTACCAACAACATGGCTGATGTACCTACTTCTTCTGGTTCCAAACCGGGAAGCGTTATCAACAAACCTGCGGCGGGTACTACCAACGTGCACAAAATTATCCGCGACTTCCAGGCTTCCAAAGCGACTGGCAAGTTTACATTCAAGGCTGGTCGGTACGTACTCACTTTGTTCGCATGTATGATTGCGTATTTTCTAGCACCGAAATGATACCGATACGCTTTTGGTCTCATGGTATTGCCGAGTACGATCTTTCTCGTGTTGCAATGGGTACACTTACATTTGGGCGAGGTGGGGAGCAACTTCTACTTCGACAATCTTGTGATCGTTTCCTAACCATTTGATTGCGTTCCTCATGTATTGCGTTTGCTCTCCTATACGCGTTGTATTTTCTTCAGCTATGACCGTGCTATCAACCTAGCCTTTGGCCTTGGTATGTGTTTCGTTCTTGCCAATGTGGGCCATGGCGCTTATCAATTGGCAAACGGTGTTGGAAAAAAGGACGGCTTTTAGTGCGCAAAAAGGCAAAGCAGTAAATGAAGTAAACGTCCGGGGTCGTTTTCCTGATGCGGGGTTCGCAGCCACACAGTTGCGAGAGACATTTGAATAGTGTGGTTTGCCTTTAATTAGTGCCGCTGGATACGAGAGGAACTAAGTTATCAAGTGGAGCTCGTAGTTTTGACGGAAGGGCCCCTTGCTTTGTTCGAAGCAGTTTTACTTAACCCATTTCGTCACGTGTCTTCTCGGAGACGCTTTTTCCCCGTCGCTCCGCAGCTTTTATTGCTACTGGTTCACTTCACCTCTTTCTTTATATCTGCATCGCTCCCTTGGTGATGATGGAGCAGTCATATTCTAATGTCATTCGTATCAATTGCAAGGATTGTTGAAACGTAAAGGTTGATTTACAAACTAAGGTACCAACAAGGCGCGTAAGATATGAGTACTGTAACTAAATAAGCGGTGGAAGTGAGAGGCGAAATTGCCTTCGACCACTCGTCAGCTTCTGAAGAGAGCGGCGAGATCACTGGGGATTCAAGTTCCCCAGGCTGTACGAGATCGGCTCACATCAACAGAGGTGATACCTGGGCAGTTTCCGTGATTCAATCTCCCCGTCTTATCTCAGCGAAAGCCTTCCGTTCTGAATCATACAGCTTCCCGCTGCGCTAGTGATTTTAGACAATGCCAGACGCTCTCATCTTGAGAAGTTATCTTCGCAGTGCCCCCACAGAGCACAGCCATCCATGGTCGCGGATGTAATCGTTCCAATCCTGTTCAAAGTCAATGATTCAGATGACGAACAGGTTCTTTGGACGAGAGCCAGTCTTCAGCATAACTCCGTCACTGTGACGCAGAGGCCAAGTTGGTCCAAGTCTACTGGTGCGCAAATGCAAACCTATGGAGGGATTCTCGTTCTTGTTCTACCGTACGGGAAAGTCATGCCGTTCTACTGTATTTATGAGAAAAAAAATTAACTATCTTGCTTCCCGCCCCGCCTCCACACCGCGCAGACAAATACAGATCCTGGAGAAGCTCGTATTCTTATTTTCCGCGCCGTGCTTTCGTAGTTTTCTCATACAGTGGGATAGTCTTCTGTCCACCTTTCAGACATGTCTCTCTCTTGCACATACACAACAAGGTCTTTTCCGTCATACCATGCTTTAAAAGTCGTGGGTCTGAAGGGAACAGGGTTTGGCTAAGTTGGAAGATGCCCGCTATCTCGCTCCGATACAGAATAATATGAACAATATCACAAGAGACTGTTTCTCTCCACATTCAGAGACGCTTGCTGAGGCTTCACCCCTGAGTTTTGACCCTCTCAAAGATGCTGAAAATCTTGTCGCTTAACTGTGATTCTTGGTGCAGCATCACAGTAGTGGGGCGGGGACACATTTTTGTATCTGCCCAAGACCCCGTGTAGGGCAGAGCCCGACTTTTGCATCAGCAGATATTCTTGTAACGTCGATATAATGCAAATAGTGCCGTAACTCATTTTCTAGTGTGTCGAAATGAAGTCGTTCCAGGTGTACCACTCGAAGGGTACACCACTGCTGTCATATAAAGCCGTTGTTTGACAAAAAAAACAAGCGATGCTTCTCTCTGCCATTTTGGGGGATCCAATGCATACCGTGCAGTACGGGAACAGAGGAGAGCATCGGCTGTGAGGGAAAACGTAGTGGTGCTCCAGTCAGGTTCTGTTTCTAAAACCGACAGCACAAAAAAATACTGTAGAAAGGCAAATAATGCTGTGGCCAATCAGAATGAGGCCCGTGTGGGATTTCAGACGTGTGGCGAGATGAAAGTAATGCGAAAATGAGGATTCCTGAGAAACAGGACCCAGTTGGTGCCCTTACAAAACTCGAACTTATACTACTGTACGTTGCTGGATATCTCCACAGATTTTGTAGAAAAAAGAATCGAAAAGGTAGTCTGCAGTGGGGTTCTTGCTTCCATGTTGAAAGTTTTGCTGTATACAATCCACTTCACCATCATATCTGGGCATGACAAGTGCCAGCAATTGGAATCAAAAAAGTGAAACTGAAGAAATCTGAACTCAAATCTGTCTCGTTCATTTCTGTGTCCGACTTTGCTGAGAAGGACAAAATGTTATTCTCTTCGCAATTTCCTAGACATTGCATATGAGTTCGGAGTGCTTTCCTTTGAAGAATATACATCACTGCTGAGATCACGGCGATGGAGTGCCAATACACGCAAGGACAACGATTTTCAGAGATGAAGGTATTGTTTCCAAAGAGCTGTCGCCGGGCACAAAAAAAAAAAAAAAAAAAAAAAAAAAGTGATCTGTCACTATTCTGCTCGCACCACGTCAAAAAAAAACATTGCAAAGGGCTTCTTCCTATATGCCCTCCGCAATGTTGTTTGGACGCGGCGCAGTGCTACGTGAGCCAGAGACTTGACTCTCATGATGTCCTTCAGGGATGCATACCACGAACCGGGCTGGGGTAGCGATCACGCCAATATGTAGGGAGCAGCAAGAGAGCATTTGATGGTGGGGTTTGATAGAGGTACATTACGTTTCTTTGGTAATGTAGCAGTCACGTAAGGGAAAGTGACATTATACAATTAACATGGGGCGGCGCTCCACCGGGTAGTGAGGGTATCCAAATCCTGACAGATGAGTTTAGTCAAGTGTGGGGTAGTAGACAAGGACTGACGGAGACGACGGATTCGGTAAATTGTTGATGGTTGAACAGGAAAGGGATCACCGGCACATGTCGCAAATGCAATAACACTTATAGTGATTTGAATGAAATCGGTGAGATGAGGGCTTGGTGGGGACTGCAAGAGAGATGAAAACTCTTCCAACAGTTCCATCAGTGCATCGAGAGTCACCCTGGCACAGGCAAGTATGTCACCTGTGGCGAGCTCTACCAGTGCATGCAAGGCCGGGACAAGTAGAGGTAGTGTTTGAAGAATATGTTGGTTTGCGTGTTTACGGACATCCGGTTGCCTCGTGAAAGAGAGAAAGTCGAAGAGGGCGCGCGGCAGGGTGGCTTCGAAGGCGGGAGATTGCAAGAGCGCAAATGCAGAAGCAGCAGCGGCACAATGACATGCTGCTATGATGCGATGAATTTGATGGTGATGAAGGGGTGTTTGCCGTGATACGGGGTGGGGGGGGTATGTTTGGGGGAGATAAAGATTCAAAAAGTCAATACATGGCTCAATGGCATGTGCTAGACGGGCGAGATGTCGTGCGTCTGTCGTGTCATCATTGGACGACGGGGTGGAGGGAGAGAAGGCAGTAGCCTTGAGATTATTGGCCTCACGGACAAGGACGTCACAGGCGGCGGATACGGGCCGGATGGCGTGAGGATAGCGGGCGGGAGGGGAGTGGAGAAGCTCTGCGAGGGCCGGGCGAAGATCTGCATCTGCGGTGAGAACGGCGGCTGCGCGAGAT